ATAATTAATAATAAATACACAAACTTAAAAACAAAACTATTAATGAACATTGGATTAATCCATAATTATACCAATGTTAACCTATGGCATCCAATTATAGGGTAATGCCGAAAAAAAATTTAAATTGAATACAAACTTTTCAAAATATTACCCTAAATTACTAACTTCCCTCCATATGTTTTTAACTATACACTCCATACTGATCTGAAAATTAAAACTGTGAAAGAAGAAGCAATGACTTATTATACATTTTTTCTGGTAATCCTCCAAGACGCTTAAAATGGTGCAGAGATCAATTAATCTAATAAAAGAGAAAAAAAACAAAAACTTATTTATATATATATTTGTATGTATCATATACATATATATATCATAAATATATGTAAACTTAAATATATATTCATTTAAATGTGTCATCAATGGGTGGCTTCTTATGTCAAGATTTTTCACGTGTTTTTTTAATTTAGCCAATAATCTTATTGTTCTTTTTTTATTACAGATTGAGTATATAAAATCAAAAATAAAAAAATTTTTAGTGTTTTCCAAATTTATGAAAAAAAGGAGGAGTCACATTTTTTTATTATTACTAATAAGAATCCCACCAATATAATATTTCTTTGTAAGAAGGGATAACGAAAAATTACATTAATTAAAAATGGTATATTCCTTAATTTTTCACTAACATTTTCTTACTTTAATCATATTATAGAAGATACGTTATACAAATTTAGTTTAAAATAATTAAAAATGAATAAAGTATTCCATTACTACACGCATTGGTATTACCTTTAAATAAATGGAATGACTAATTTGATTTAAATTGTAGTAGATAGTATTAGATCTACGAAAATTGACATTAATTAAATGATACATTAATTAATTTACTAAGACAAGTAATATAATTTCAAAGCTATTGCATTTAACAAAAAGGTACAAATCTTTCAAAAACAATATTATACTTGCATTCAAACGTGTAAATAATTAAGATAATTTTTGTACAACTCATTACACAGGGTGTTCAGTAAGTCAGGAAACGGGTTTCTATTGTTCTCATTGTTACAAACAATGAGAACAATAGAAACCCGTTTCCTGACTTACTGAACACCCTGTAGAATACTGATATATAATTGTTTACAGTCAACCGGTATCATAACGTTTTTAATTACAATTTGAGAATCAATAAGTGTGTATATTATTAAAAATAATATAACGTTATAAATTATTAAAATACTTGTGTATTTTTAAATATACAGCATATTTTACATTTATTATTTGAAATATTATTTATTTGATTGGTACAATTAGGTTTTATTGAGAACAATATGTATTATAAAAATATCAAATGTTTACGTCTTATGCGTCATCACATATATTTATATTGCTAAAATTATGGAAAGAGTTTTCATCAAATAAATTATAATTATTTAATGTTTCTAAGTAATCAATAAATGATCGAATAATATTAAAATCGACACCCTTAATTATGTAATTAAAATAACATCCAAAATCTTGTTTGAAATCCAGTACACTTATCGAGTTATTAATATCGTTTATGTCTGTGATTTCTTCACTGTCGGTTGTTTCATCAATTGATTTATTATGCAAATCACGATCTGGGTAAAAAGTAACTTGATTATATGTCTGTAAAATTTCTTCCATGTTCCAATTTTCAACTATCGTACAACCTAACACTTCACAAAGCATTGATATTATATTGCTAATATTATTTATCAAATTGTCTGTAAACTGATTTTGATAAGTTGGTAACTTAATGAGATCAACAGTTCCATCGTTATTCAAGGGATAATTTTTTATATGTATAGAAATACTTTCTATTACACTTTCAATTACATAGTCTTTTTCTAATGCTAGAAAACTGGTGAATTCTTGAAGTGACAATAACCATTGATCCGTAAGATCTACAATCAATATTGCATCTTGATGTTTAATATATAAAAATTGTTTCCAAGTCAATCTTAACATCATTACTTTCAATAAGTTGAAAATCATTGAATAAAGCAACAAACAAGGACGTAATTTTGTAATGTGCCAATCAAGTTTATCGACGTTCACATAAACATCTTTAAACTTCTTATTAATGTCTCCCCAATGTATTCGTAAATCGAAACTATCAATTAACTTTAACGTGGCAGATTTATAATGTCCAAATCTTTTTAAATATAAATAATTTGTCTTGAAAGCTTGTAATTTTTTCGTAAAATCGATTTTTAATATTCTATTGTTGTCATCAATTAGTACTTCGATATCTCTTTTGTTATTCGAAACAATACGTAACATATAATCATAATTCTTCTTTTGATTATCATCAAAGAGCATGTTACCAATGTAAAATCGGCTACTTTTATCACAATCACGTGATTCCATATCTAATTTTTCGTAAATATATTCGTGACATTTCAAAATTTCAGCAATTTTAGAATCCTTTTCTTTTTTTATTTTAACATTTTTAAAATAATTTATGTATGTACCAATTGTGGATGTATATATATTTAATAACCACAATGATCCAATATCAACTACTTCGGTGAAATATAATGAAGCTATCTGTTTTTTTACGAATGCGTTACCATAAGTGATTATAGCAATTACGACCGTGATATCACGAAGCTGGTTTTCAATAAGTATTTTAGTAAATTGCAAATGATTCTTACAGGCAAACAGATAAGTGCATTTCAATAATTTGATATCTTCCGTATTGTAGTTTCGTTTGATTATTCCTGTGTTATTCATATAGCCAGTATCTAATGTAGCAAAATGACCAAAATGGAAAAAAACATTTAAAAAAATGAGCTGTAAAAGCGCTTTCTCTTTAAAAAATTTAGACCACATTTTAATATTTTATAAGACAAAAAATATCTTATAGTTTAACTGGGTTATATTTATAGTTATTTTTATGTTTCTAATTTTACTGTGGTAATAATTGTAATTTATTAAATATTTACGTCATTTATTAAACCTCAATGTTACGAAAATCTGTGTTTGCGATTCTAAATAGTTTTATACCAAATGCTAAATATTTTAAATAATATAATAATTACAGTATGATTTATTAAGAATTTTGACTTTCCTGATTTATTATGTATATTTATGATTTTTTCATAAATCTTTCAAATTATAATTTGATTTATTTTTATTAGTTATTAATAATATCGAGTTTTTTAAATTAAAAAAAATTGTTTTTAATGCTACTTTTTAGGGGTAAATTTAGAAAGATAAATGAAAAAAAATTAATATATTTTTTTACTATTAAATTGAGAATAGACTTAATTGTATAATTGTCTTAATAGTTATAATTGTAAACGACAATTTTTAATAATTAAATAACATAATTTTATTGGAGTTTTGGGTCTTGGAACCAGAAAATTTTTTTACTAGGTTGTTTAAAAACAAACATTGTTATTTGAACTTTAAAAAGAATTAAACAAACAAACTTGTTGAATTTATGGCATAACTTTTTAAAATAATGTTTTGAATCACTGATTTATACATTTGTATGTCAGAGGACATAACAAAAAATTATATACTGAGTGATTAATTTATTGTTAACTATTATATTTCTCTAATAAATATTAATATTATAAAAAAATTTTTTCTTATAATTAAATCATTAATATTGAACAATTATTATTTAGTTTTTTTTTTTATTTATAAATGGTTAAAATTTTTTAGTTTATCCCTTATAATGTTACCAAATTTATTTTTTTAATGATAACATTATGAATAATTTATATATTTGATTATAATTGTTTCTATTAACCATGTTTTAAAATTATTACTTATTAATAAAAACAAGGATTTATATGTAACAATTATTATTATTTTCAATATAATAAAAATAATCCATTCAAAATGTCCTTTTTAACTTATTTTTTTGGTCCTTTAAAATTTATTTTTACTATAGTATATAAATTACAAATGTTTAATTTTCTAACTAATTTCATTTCTAATTGCAAATTTGGAATTGATGTTATTAATTAGACAATTTTATTAGGATTTAAAAATTGTATTGATTAGATTTCTCTGATATCAGGAACTTATATAATTACTATTAACAGTTAATTTATAAGAAAAGCTGAAAATTTCGTTAAAACCGCTTTTTTTTGTATTAATATTGAAATAAGTCATTTCAATAAAAATTATATTAATCATTTTATGAAACTCTTGATTTTTAAATATATGTTAAAACAGGAATATTCAAAAATATCCGGTGCCTAATTTCACCTATAATTTCGTTTGCTTATGAGTTGTTTATATCATTTAAACCTACATTTTTTTGGTTACTGTATTTATAAATACAATTACTTATAATGAATAATGGAGGAAATAGGAATTCATTTTTTTTTTGGTATACTTTACTAACTTTTTAAACTTAAACAGTATCTACAGATATTAACCGATGCTATAACAGTATTGTCAGATGTCATTTATATTTGTCCTATCTACGCTTTGTCCAATCTGTGTCGTGAACCTCTGTGCTAATGTTTTTTATATGAAATTCCATGTAACACTTGTCACTAAACGCAGAATCGATCTAGGAATAAGTTATTTTTATAAATTAGTATTAATTGATTATTTGTGTATTTTAAAAGTACAGCATATTTTACATTTATTATTTGAAATATTATTTATTTGATGGGTACAATTAGGTTTTATTATGAACAATATGTTTTATAAAATTATCAAATGTTTACGTTTTATGCGTCATCACATATATTTATATTATTAAAATTATGGAAAGAGTTTTCATCAAATAAATTATAAGTATTTAATGTTTTTATGTAATCAATAAATGAACGAACAATATTAAAATTTACTCGCTTAAATAAGTAATTTATATATTTTCCAAAGTCTTGTTTGACATCATCTAATAGTCTAACCTTATTATTAATATCATTTGTGTCTGCCATTGCACCACTTTCGGTTGTTTTATCAAATGATTTATTAAGCAAATCACGAGCAATTTTCAACTATCGTACAACCTAACAAATCACAAAGCGTTGATATTATATTGCTAATATTATTTATCAATTTGTCTGTAAACTGATTTTGATAAGTTGGTAACTTAATGAGATCAACAGTTCCATCGTTATTCAAGGGATAATTTTTTATATGTATAGAAATACTTTCTATTACACTTTCAATTACATAGTCTTTTTCTAATGCTAGAAAACTGGTGAATTCTTGAAGTGACAATAACCATTGATCCGTAAGATCTACAATCAATATTGCATCTTGATGTTTAATGTATAAAAATTGTTTCCAAGTCAATCTTAACATCATTACTTTCAATAAGTTGAAAATCATTGAATAGAGCAACAAATAAGGACGTAATTTTGTAGTGGGCCAATCAAGTTTATCGACGTTCACATAAACATCTTTAAACTTCTTAATAATGTCTCCCCATTGTATTCGTAAATCGAAACTATGAATAAAATTTGATATTTCATAAGATTTACTTCCAAATCTGTTGAAGTATAAATAATTTGTCCTGAGAGCTCTTATATTTCCGATTTGTAGTATTCCATTTCTGTGGTTGTCATCAATTAGTACTTCGATATCTCTTTTATTATTCGAAACAATACGTAACATATAATCATAATTCTTCTTTTGATTATCATCAAAGAGCATGTTACCAATGTAAAATCGGCTACTTTTATCACAATCACGTGATTCCATATCTAATTTTTCGTAAATATATTCGTGACATTTCAAAATTTCAGCAACTTTAGAATAGTTTTCATTTGTAATTTTACCTTTTTTAAAATAATCTACGTAAGCTCCAATCGTGGATGTGTATATATTTAATAATCACAATGATCCAACTTCAAATTCTTTATTGTAATATAATGAAGCTATTTGTTTTTTTACGAATTGGTTACCATTAGAGAATATACCAATTGCTACCGTAATATCACAAAGCTGGTTTTCGATAAGTAATTTAGTAAATTGCAAATGATTCTTACTGGCAAACAGGTAAGTGCATTTCAATAATCTCATGTCTTCCGTATTGTAGATTCGTGTGAATATATCTTTGTAATTTATATAGCCAGTATCTAATGTAGCAAAATTACCAAAATTAAAAAAGAAATTAAAAAAAATGAGTTCTAAAAGCATTTTTTCTTTAAAAAATTTAGACCACATTTTAATATTTTATAAGACAATAAATATCTTATAGTTTAACTGGGTTATATTTATAGTTATTTTTTATTGTTATAAAAACTGATGTTCATGCACTAAAGTATTATATGTTTAGTTATATTTAAGTAAAATTGTAATGTATAACATGTTTACGTCATTCATTAAAAACCTCAATGTTGCGAAAATCTGTGTTTGCTAGTCTTAATATTTTTATACCAAATACTAGAAATTTTATAAAATATAGCATGCACTTTATGATTTATTATCTATTCTGACTATCTCCTCATTTTTCCTTAAATAATTACTTTTTCTGTATTATTTCAAATTACAATTTGATTTATTTTTATGAATTATTGTTAATATCATATTTTTTTAATAAAAAATATTATTTTTAATGCTTGTTTTTAGAGGTAAGTATTATTAAAACAGTTAATGGCAACAAATTGGTTTCTTATAGATTTGTCATATGTACCAATTCATCAGTCATACATTATTTATGTTAACACTTTTTAAGGATGTCACTTAATTTTTTTAAATGATAACATACATAAGTAACTATCTTATGATCTAATAAAAAAACAACTGGTAACAACTTTTGAATAATAATTCAAAAGTTATCATTAATTAAATGTTAGTTAATCATTATGCGTTTCTTTGCTGCACTAATCCTCTAATCAAGGTATAAAAATGTTCATAACTTTAATTTACTGCGCTTAATTAACTATGTAGTAAGATTAACTCAAATTATGCTTATTATTATTATTATTATTTTTTTATTTAAATTTATTTTTTAATTGTAACTAGAATTGTAGTTGTAAGAACTGTATAAAATATTTATTCTAACTATACAGGGTGATTTTTTTATCATAACCCACTCAATTACTTGCAGAATAATAATAATTTAAACATTTTTTTTTTTTATTATCTTTAGTTACACATTATTCTTGAATTTTTAACTATATAATACTTTTTAAGTTCATCCCTTATGCCTTGTAAGGGGGTCAACTTTGTTTTTTTAAATGGTAACACATATTATTAATTTAATAAAATGTTTGAGTTTTTAATTTAATAGTAAATGGCATTTGAATTTTTAATATAACTTAATTAGCTTATTAGATATAAACATTTAAAGTTTCAAAATTTTGAGTTAATATACATGTATAATACACATGGGATTGTAAATACAGGTAGCTAATTGGATTTTTATGACATTGCTGTCTCAGTCACGGATTGTTTATTATCAATTATGATTATCAATAGATATACTTTCTGTATTGTCAGTTAGTGTATTTATAAACTCATAACAATGTACCTTACTATCATTGATAATAACAATGCTGTGTACCTGCTAATATCGATGTCATAAAAAATCAATTAGCTACCTGTATTTGTAATCCCTTGTGTATTATACCTATATATTAACTCAAAAATTTGAAACTTTAAATGTTTATATCTAATAAACGAATTAAGTTATATTAAAAATTCAAATGCCATTTACTATTAAATTAAAAACTCAAACATTTTATTAAATTAAAAATATGTGTTACCATTTAAAAAAACAAAGTTGACCCCCTTACAAGGCATAAGGGATGAACTTAAAAAGTATTATATAGTTAAAAATTCAAGAATAATGTGTAACTAAAGATAATAAAAAAAAAAAATGTTTAAATTATTATTATTCTGCAAGTAATTGAGTGGGTTATGATAAAAAAATCACCCTGTATAATCATGTTATCACTATATTTGCCATAACTATAAAATTTTTTTATAGTGTGATTATCGACCTGTCATTTTCTTCATAAGATTATCTACTTATTTATAGGCTAGTTAAATATATATATATATTTAAAAAAATGAAATAAGTACTATTTTAATAAGCCAAAACAAAAATTCTTAATTTTTTTTTATGATATAAGAAATCTAGTAGTCAAATATCTAACCATAATAATCATATGTAGAATGTTCAGTAAGGAAGGAAACGAGTTTTATTGTTCTCATTGTAACTATTTATCTATTTCCGTACCTTTTGAACACTTTGTTTAATCATACTAATAACTCCAAATGTAAAAAAAGAAATATTTTCATTTTTATTCGTGGGATTATAAAAGTGTTATGACATTTTAGCCCTCAATGTAGCAGTGCATTTTTCAGCTAGTAAACTGAGAAATTTGAATTTCAAAATAACATAACATGAATATTCACTTGAATATTTATGCACAAATTTGTTTAAATAATTGCCCGCAATATCTGTGTATATGTTTATTAATCAAAATACTCCCAATTGAATTTTTTTGTTATCATATAATATAAATATTTGGGATCTTACACTGTTGCAGTCTTTATTAAGTTCGTAGTTTTTTTTATATAATTTAAAGGATGTTCAAAAAGTATTTTAATAAATTTTATATGATTCAATCCGTTAAATAAATAGAAGGAATTTTATAATTAATTTTTTTTTTTGTAATTTGGTTTTATGACGCCGGTGTCGTGTTCTTAACCAGTATGAAATAGTTTTAAATTTACAATTTGTAGAGAGAGAAAAATCGCAATAGATTTAAAAACTATAAATAAAAGTTTTGTGTCACTATGATCATTGTTATAAAGCCCTGCTTTTAAAAGATTATTCACTTTTATAATTTTAAAATTTAAAAAAAGGAAAAGTACAATTTTTTATTTTAATTATTTTCTTAATAGCCGGTAATTATAAAAAATATACTTTGAATATTGTCCAAGAGTGAATTATTTATTTGAAAAAGATTAACAAAATACAATTATGACAAAGACTAATAGTCAACTAAATCTAAACATCATGTATATTTGTAGGAAGTATATTACAAATAACGTATAAAAATTATTTCATAAAATAACATAAACTGTTTAATATTTATAATATTAGTTGACTTTGTGTAAGAGATGATTTTAAAGAACTATAAGTTTTAGAGATTCGATAACTATCGAAAATAATTTATGAAATTAATTGCAATCCAAGTACAAATGATGCAAATAGTTTCTAGTAATTTAAATTGTATAATGATAGAATTTATTTTAGTCATTATATTTTTAGTTTTTGTGTTTACTCCTACATTATACTAAATACATTTTATGTAAAATTAAACTGAATTATTAACGTACATAATTGGATTTTTTCAAAAATTAAAATTTGATTTGTATGTATATTTTGTATTTATTATATTTTACATTTTTAAAGACATTGCGAAAATCATAGGTAAACAATTTCGATGGATATTAATAGAATTACAAAATACAAACACATAATTCATATTAAAATAAACTACATATATTTATCGAGTTATTTTGTTAATAATAATATATTACCTATTAAGATTCTCTATTATTGGAGTTAAGATGGCTTTTATGAATTTTTCTATAGCTTATTATGTTTATGTATTAATTGCATCCATAAATTTACAAAAGTAATACAACAAAGACACGTTTATTTTTGTAAATTTAAAGTATTGTTTGTTTTTAAATACAATTGTCATCAATTTTTATATAGTCTTTAATTTTTATGGATTAAATAAAAATAATCACTTATAACATTTTTTTTTATTGAAACATTTAATGTTTCCAAATAATCATTAAAAATAAAGTTCAACAAAATGATAATTAAAAAAAAAAGGTTTTAAGATTTCTAACTAAATACCTTATAAATTCTAAGAAAAATTATTAATAAATGTCATATAAAAATTATTTGGTATAAAAATTAAACTATTTAATACTTAAAGTATTATTTGAATGTATGAGATGATATTGCTGTTAATGTCGATTACTTAAATAATGGACACCTAAATTGTGCAATAATATGAACATTTTTATTTTATTGTTTCATAATTAAATGCTCTTGATCTAACCCGATAAAAAAAAATGATAAAAATAACGGGTATAATTAGCTCTTTTTAAATAACAAGTTTTAAGCAAAAATTAAATTTACACAATATCCATTGTATTAATTTTTAAAATTGAGAAGATATTCAATATTATCACTATTTTTCAACTTATGATTACTTATTATATACACAATTATTCATTTTATAGCACTTTTATTATGTCTCTTTTTACAAAAGATTTGATTTGTTTGTAATAATTTTTGTGTATCACCAAAATATGACAAATCCAAAAAATATTGATACAACTATCATTGATTAATTTTTTTTTAAAGATTACGCCTCCTTAGACTATGTTTACAGCATATATTATTGTTATTAATAACTATTATAAAATTATATATATATATATATATATATACAGGGTGGCCCACCACTCACTGACAACTTAAATAACTTTTGATCCAGTTAATATTTTTAGTTGATTTTTTTTTAAAATAATAGTTATACGTTAGGTCTATAGTTATATCTCAATAATTAATTTTTTTACATTTTATTAAAAATATTAATTATTTTTAAATTTTAAATAAAATGTAAAAAAAAAATCTAAGATAGCTATTTTGTAGAGTAGAATTTAAGAAAAATTTTAGTAAAAAAATATCTTATTAATATTCAGTAGTAAATATTCTGTAGCGTTTTGAAGTTTGTAAAAATTTGAATTTTCATGTACTATTTTACGGTATTAAACATTGAAATACGTATTGAGAAAAGGACAGAAGAAAACGCTATCTTTTCAATATACTTTTGAATGAGAGTGATAAGTAATAATTGCCTTATCTAATTTCTTATCATGGTATTTATGCCAAGTTTGTAATGTATACACACTATCATCATATGTATACACAGTAATCATGAAAATAATTTTATGGGTTTATAGCAATTTTAGGACAAATATTTAATGAGTTACAAATATATAAATATATATAATATAATTATTATAATGTTTTAATATTTAATGATATAAAAATTGAATTTTTTATTTTAATCATATTATTATTAGTGATAACTAATAAAAAATATGTTTTAATCATTGTCAAAGAAGGCAATATATATTTTTAAAAAATTCCAAAATAATAATTGTTGGATCAAAATATATTG